GCTCTTGGTGAACCGCACGATGCTGGTGGTGGTGGTGTCGCTAACCTTGGTTTCAGGGGTATAGGTATGTACTGGTATCCGTAGGGGCAGCGACAGATGAGCGGCCGTGGGTGCATGGAACGGGGCCACGGAGGGGGCGCATGAGCGGGGAGAGGGGAACGCGCGTCGAGAACCGGGGGCGCCGGGGCGGAGGGAGGGGGATGCAGCGGGGCCGGGGGGGGCGGGGGGGGGGGGGGGGGGGGGGGGGGGGAGAGGGGGGGGGGGGGGGGGGGAGGGGGGGGGGGGGGGGGGGTTTGTCAGTGACAACAAGTGAGAAAAAATGGGCCCAAGAGGTAGAGGTCGGGCCGGATTCCGGGGAGGAGGAAGAGGAGGAGCCCGAGGTGGCGGTAGAGGAGGAGCAAGAGGTAGAGGAGGCGCGAGAGGCAGAGGTAGAGGAAGAGGAGGCAGAAGGTTTGATACTGCGCGTCTGGAAGAAAAGGAGTACGTTTCAGCCCCCATGCCAATCTATGAAATATTGTGAAAATCTAACACCAGTAGGTCTTCGGATGATGAGTCTCAAGAAGAGTTGGACTCTGAGGCTGAGGAGGACTCTGATATCTCCATGTCTGATGATGAGGACGAGGACGAGCAACCCAAAAACACCCGCCCTTATATGGCGCTCCTCCAAGGATTCACGGAGTCTTCAGAGCCGAGTGCTAAAAGACGGAAGCTCGAAACTGGCAAGCCAGAAAGCACCGCCAAGGCTGAGTCTGAATCTGAATCTGATGATGATGAGATCGAGGAGGAAGACAAGGATGTCGATAGGGTCGAGGAAGCTGAAGACCCAACGGCTGATCTGGAGGAGGAAGCGGAGCAGAGCGACGATGAAGACGACGTTGATGCCTCAGATCCGTTCGACAGCCACTTCACGACCCCTGATGAAGAGATGACAGCGAAGAGAGTCAAGGCGATTCAGAAGAATGAGTGGACTTTCAAGCGGACAATGTCCAAGGTTTCGAAAGCTGTGGTGACATTCCCTCAAGTGGAGGGATCAGAAGCCCCGCCGATTCTCTCACCTATTTCCAGCTTGGATAGCCTCAAGCTGAAGCAGAAGCTGCGGGAGACCGCCTCTAAAAAGATGGCCTCGCTCGACATGCTGCAGCGAGCCATCGCCCCGACGATATTCAACTACAATGACCTGTTGTACGATAATCGAAACACTCAAAACTCCAACGGTTTACGGCAGCTTGTGTGCTTACACGCCGTCAACCACGTCTTCAAGTAAGGACATTCCCATCACTTGCCTCATGAATGAAATGCTCACATATATAGGACCCGAGACAGAGTCATCAAGAACAACTACAAACTCTCAAGGGAAGAGAATGCCGATCTCGAGCTCAGAGACCAGGGTTTCACCCGCCCCAAGATCTTATTTATTCTGCCGACCAGACAGTCCTGCTTGAAGATTGTGAATACAATTGAGGAGATCTGCGCGCCGGACCAGCGGGAAAATAGAAAGCGGTTCGACGAGGCGTACACCGATGAGGACGCCAGGTTCGGGGAAGACAAGCCCTCCGACTTCCGCGAACTATTTGAGGGCAACGACGACGACATGTTCCGGATTGGCATGAAGTTCACGCGCAAGACGGTCAAGTACTTTTCGCAGTTTTACAACTCGGACATACTCCTCGCCAGTCCCCTGGGTCTCCGCATGGCCATAGGCTCCGACGAAGACAAGAAGAAGATGGACTACGACTTCCTCAGCTCCATCGAGATGGTCGTCGTCGACCAGGCCGACGCTCAGCTGATGCAGAACTGGGAGCACGTCGAGTACATTTTTGAGCACATGAACCTCCAACCCAAGGACGCCCACGGCTGCGACTTTGGCCGCGTGCGCAGCTGGTACCTGGACGACCAGGCAAAGTACTTCCGCCAGACCATTGTCCTTTCGGGCTTCAACACCCCGGAGCTCACCGAGCTTTTCCGCACGCAGTGCCACAACTGGGCCGGCAAGGTCCGCTTCCAGGCAGACTACCCCGGCGTCCTCACGCAGCTCGGTCTCAAGGCCCGCCAGACCTTTTCCCGCTTCGAGTGCCGCTCCATCGACAAGGAGCCGGACGCGCGCTTCGACTACTTCGTCTCAGCCATCCTCCCGTCCCTCATCAAGCGCGCAAAGGACACCTCGGGCACGCTCATATTCATCCCCTCGTACCTCGACTTCGTCCGCGTGCGCAACTACTTCGCCGCCAACCCGGCCGTCGCCGCCCTCTCCTTTGGCACCATCTCCGAGTACGCCGACGTCCCCGAGGCCTCGCGCGCCCGCTCGCACTTTTTGACGGGCCGGCACAAGGTGCTCTTGTACACGGAGCGAGCGCACCACTTCCGGCGCACGCAGATCCGCGGCGTCCAGCGCGTCATCATGTATAGCCTGCCGGACAACCCAATCTTCTATCGCGAGATCGCGGGCGAGTATCTCGCCCGCAGCGAGCAGGACATGAAGCTGGAGCCCGGACAGGGCAGCGTGCGCGTCATGTTCTCCAAGTACGATGTCATGAAGCTAGAGCGTGTTGTCGGCACGCAGCGTGTAGGCAAGATGATTCAGGAGAAGGGCGATACCTTTGATTTTGTATAAGAGAGAGAGAGAGAGAGAGAGATGCAAGATGGATGTGTTTTGCTGCCATATGGCGGACGTAAAAAGTTGTCTTTTTTGGAGCTTCCGTAGTATACATGTATACCCTATACGACAGTAACCTATAGACTGGCCAGGTATTTCCCTCTTGATAATACACCATTCTTTATGAGTTACAGATTTTTCACCACATCGTACCACATCCTCTGTGCTCGTGGCAGGCTCCATCGCCCCCCATCCCGCGGCCGACCTCATGCCTCAGCCTACGCCTTCTTCGCCTTGGCCCCTTCCAACAACTCCTCCTTCCGCGCCGCCTTCTCGTCCGACCTAGCCTTGAGCAGCCTGAAGCTGGCAACCATATCCTCGAACGCCGTCTTGCCGTCCTTGCGGTACCTCGTCACCTTGGCGACGTTCTTCTTGGTCAGATCCGTGCTCCTCTTGCCCGAGTCCTTGTCGTGGGCGACGGCCTTGGCCGTCATCATGAAGCGCACGTCGCGGGGCCCGTCGACGAGCTCGAGGATCGCCGAGGGGGCCTGGTCGTAGGTGCTCCGGGGCTCGGTGCGCAGCACGCGCGTGTAGCCGCCGGGGCGCTCGGAGTAGCGTGTGCGGAGCTCGCCAAAGAGCTTGGGGAGTAGGTCGTGGGGTGTCTGGCATATTATGTCCTCTGTCAGTCGTCTTGTTCCCTTTCTTCTCTAGTTGGTTCCATGGACCGGTAGCTGTTCTCCATCTTATAGAGCCGCAGGGATTTAGGGTGCCACTCACGTAGAGAATTGCCTGAGCTTTCCGCCTCGTCTCCTCATTGTCGCGCTTCGCGTAGGTGATGAGCTTCTCGGCGAGGCGCTGGGCCTCTTTCGCCTTGGCGAACGTGGTGTGGATGTGCTCGTGGGCGACGAGGGAGGTGACGAGGCCGCGGAGGAGGGCCTGTCGCGCTGATGAGTTACGGCTCAGGTGCCTGTACTTGGTGAGACCTCCCGCCATGGCTGCTGTAAATGTGTTCGAGTCGTCTCAATTGAGATTCGGCGGGGCCCCGTTTCGGTTCGTCTAGGCCGCAGAGGAAGAGCTGGGAGGCCGTGTCGGAGCTGCGCTGTGTGGTGTACAGGTCGGTCGGTGGATTTCGGAGGCAGATCGAACTGAATCGTCAAAAAGGCGTACGATAGATCGCCTTTGGTGTCTCTGCAGTCGCTCTCTCTAACCAAATTTTTGGCAATCGTGCTTTGGAGCCTCTGGTTGGCTTAGCGGAATAGTTATGCGGGGACCGAAGTCCAAAAAGCCAAGGTACCTTGACCCCTGCTCACGGCTCGCCGAAATCCACCCGGGGAGGCTGAAAGTCGCTCGCTCGCTCGCAGCCGATTAATTAACGTCATTCCGCACCGAAGCTGCCCGTCCCGCTTCTCGGAGGCCATCAGTGACAAGCAACGCGCCAATTCAAGACGACTTTTGCGACGTACTTCCTACAATCGCATCATGAAACCTTGAAACCGAATTAATCTACGGAGAGGAACTCATATATCAAATTTCGGCTCAATTGCGCACGTCGCATTTGGATTGGTACAGACCTGATCAAAAGCCATCATGGGCTTCACCACTGGATTCGTACGTCTCACACCCTCTTCACTTTTCTAAGCCTCTCAGATCCCAATCGCAGAGAGACCATACACATGCAATGAGCACATCAGATAGCTAACAAAATCTCTCCCATCGACAGACCGGCGGTATAACCGTAACCCTAGGCGTCGCCTACCTCACAGTCCTCGCCCACCAACGCAACCGAGAAACCCAATCCCACACCCTCCGGACGCAACACCACGTCCTCTCCTCCCTCCTCGAGCCCCAGATCCGCATCCCGCCGCCTCTGACCCGCTCCGAACAGGCCGTCAAGGATCGCGAGACGCTGCTGTCCTCGGCAAAAGACCGCTGGAACCGCGAGGTCGAGAACGCCGTCCGCTGGGCGCAGCGCACGGATTGGGGCGAGGTGCGCGAAGACCTCGAGAGCGGTGCCGCCCGGTTCTGGGGCGGCAGCATCAAGAAGGCCGGTGAGGCGGAGCAGGCCGTGGAGAAGAGGGCTGTTCCCTTGGCGAAGGAGGCGTCGGCCCGAGGCGGCGCTATCGCGGAGCAGTCAGGACAAGAAATCAAGAAGGAGGCACGCAGCGCGTGGGAGCGCGCAAGAGAAAAGAGCCTCGCCGCCGAGGAGGCCGCGCGCGCCAAGGCTGCCGAGGCGAAGAAGGTTATCGACGCAAAGGCCGCCGAGGTCAAGGCCGTGGTCGGCGACGTGGTGGAGAAGGGCAGGCAGCAGGGCGAGGCGGTGCTCGTGGCGGCGAAGCAGGCGGTGGGCATCGCTGAGGACAAGGTCAGCGTCAAGGTCGACGGCGCGGTGCTACCCGCGGCGTCGCCGGTGCAGAGGGCGCTCCACCAGCGGTACGAGAAGCCGAGCGGCTTGACCAAGAGTGTGAAGGAGACGCTGGCAGAGCGGTACCGGAAGATTGATGAGCAGGATAATACTCAGCTCAGGGGTATCTGATTACGGTCGACCCGTATGTTTTCCTTGCTTCCGTGGAGTCATGAGGACGCGGGAAGGCGGGTGGAGCGGTTGTGGGAGATGTACTACCAGACCACATATATAGAATAACAACGGCAAGCCTCTTCTTTTTTCCCTTTGTAGCATGCGTATTTTCCCCCCCTTCTTTGGCTCACACGGGAAGAGTGGGACATGGGCAGACGTGTGTGTGGTACAACCGGGCCGTTTGATCTGTATCTCGTCTACCTCCCGAGTCATCAATCAGGGGTTCGCGGAACGGCGGACGAAATTGAGTTGGCTGAGGGCACTTCATGGAGGACACGACAGCTCAGCGCCCTATTTGCGAGAAACATCCCCAACCACCGACCTCGCTCACGTCCTCTTCCATTCTACAATAACCTCAAAGTCTCGACACCATCACCAACCCGTTTCCAAATCTCCATACCATGCCCCCCTCACCTCAACAAGTCCCCAGCACCCGACCACGAGTGACGCCCTCCCGCATCTTCCTACGTCTCCGCGACCGCCTCGAACTCCTCCTCGAACGCTTCGTCGAAAGAGACGCCACCGCGCAAGCCGAGTTCATGACATACAAGGCGCACCGCGACCGGAGGTGGCTCGAGAAGGATATGGATGGGGGACCAGCTGCCGCGGCACTCGCTGCGGTGTCTAACACCACCGAGCCAAGACGTCGCCAGAAGAGTCCAATCAACCAGGATAATCCAACCGTTGCGTATGCGCTTCCATTTCGGGACGACAATGTCCATGACATGTTCGACGAGCCAGTCATTCCGAAGACCAGGGACAAAGACAAGGACAAGGAAAAGGCAAGTGGCCTGATGCGTACTCTCGATAAAAGCCAAACCTTGGACGGAAAAGGAGCAGCGCGCCAGATGAGAGCACCGCCCCAGCCGCGCACCCTCTCCAGGTCAAGCACACTCTCGTCCATTATCGACTCGACCTTTCTCGGAGGAGGTCAAAGACGGCGCAGGAGAAGGAATAGGAGAGGGAGGTCAGACGCCAGGCCTGGATACTTTGATCCGGATTTGTCCCCCACGACGACGCCACCACGCGCGCAGACACAGACAGCAGTGTCGGTGGCTAGAAATGACGACGATAGATTGGAGATGAACGTTCCTGTTGAGGTGCAGAGGAGATCGTGGAATGTTCCTATCGGTTCTGCGAGGTGATGTAGGAGAAGCCGTTTGGGTTCAGGACAGCAGGCAACAAGTAGAGGTGGAAATGGTTCCTTTTGCTTCGCACAAAGTTCAACCCGTTTCCGTGATGCAGAGAGCTCAGCCATATCCTTAACCATACCATTTTCAACGCACGTTAAAGGCACGTTTTGCCCTTTTCACATTACTATCGCATGACGTATAGGGAATGGTATATAGCACAGTACCGTACAAAGCGCGTCTGAAATGGAGATGATGACAAGGTGACCTATCCCCAAATCACTCCTATTCCACCCCAGCAACGAAAGATCCTTCCACTCCAAACGAGTGTATCTTACAAAGTCGAAACGTTTTTCACGTCCCCAGAATCTCCAAGGCAGGTCATATCTGAAGGGGACTAAACTTACAATCAAAGAAAAGTGCGCATCGCATGTGTGGTGATGAGGCTGTGTTTTTTTTTTTTTTCAATCAAAAAACTGACAATCGCACCTGGGACGTGCATTTGGATAGAGGGACAAAATAGCGAGGTGAAGTGTGTAAACGCTTTATGTTTGAACTCATTCTTGTCCCCCAATTCATCCGATAAAATTCCTAAGAACGCCTTCGCTGGGTTAGGGTGTACCAACTTACCAGGGCCAAGACCCATCTCAGCAACGCACCTGTAGCACCTTTCGCGCCGAGCCCTAGAACAAACTTGACCCAGTACCCGAACCCGCGGATCTGGAGGCCGCTGCGGTCAAAGTCGGGCTTGTCGGTTGTCATGCCTTGGAGGCGGGCGAGCTCCTTGGGTGAATAGGGCATGTAGCGGACGCGGATGAATTTCTCCAGCCACGCCGGGGTTTGCGCGACGGAGCGGCGATGGGTGAAAGCCTCAAAGGACGCGCGGCCGCGATAGTTGCCCGTGCCGGATTCACCAATGCCGCCAAAGGGAACAGTCGACACGGAGGCGTGGAAAAAGCCATCATTGATGGTGGCGCCGCCAGAGGTCACCTCGTTGAGGACTTCGAGCATGTTAGTACTGCCTATGCCTGAAAAACAGTGGACTATGCTTACTTCTCTGGTTCTCCTGGTCATTGCCAAAAGTGAAGAGCGCCAAAGGCGTCCTGTAGACCTGGTTCGCAATGTTGATTGCATCGTCGAGGGTATCGTATGGCATGATAGCGAAGAGTGGACCAAAAGACTCATCCTTCATGACGGAGTCGAGCATGGAGTCGACTAGTACAGCGGTAGGCTCAATGTAGAGCTGGTCCTCGTCCAGACCACCGCCCATGACAATCTTCCCGTTCGTCTCGTCAATCATCTTCTTGATGCGCTGGAAGGACCTTTTGTTGACAATGCGGGAGAAATCAGGGCTGTTCTTGGCGCCGCTGGGGAAGAACTCCTTGTAAGTAGCGTTGAGGCCCTGGATGAGAGGCTCGACGATGGCGCGGTCTGCCAGGATATAGTTCTGGGAGATGCACACTTGGCCAGCGTTGAGGCACTTTGCCCACATAAGGCGGCGAGCTGCGAGCTTGACGTTGGCGTTCTTGGTGATGAAAGCCGGGTTCAGTCCACCCAGCTCCAGGGTGACGGGCGTGAGGTTTTCGGCAGCCCTCTTGGCAATGATCTTGCCGACAGCAGTGCTGCCCGTGTACATAATCTTGTCCCACTTGACGTCGAGAAGCGCCTGGGTCTCCTGGACAGCACCATTGACGACGGTGTAGGCCTTGGGGTCGAGGGCAACCTCAAAGATCTTGGCCAGGACCATGGCGGTGGCCGGGGCGCTCTCGGAAGGCTTCAACACGGCGGTGCAGCCGGCGGCAATGGCGCCGATGATGGGGAGAAGGGTCAGTTGGACAGGAAAGTTGAAGGCGCCGATGACGAGAATCATGCCGAGAGGTTCCTTACGGATGCGCGGCTTCAGGGCAAAGTAGGTCAGGGGTATATCCTCGCACTTCTCATCTGCGGCGAACTTGCTGAGGTTCTTGAGCATGTAGAGGCAGTCATTGGCGCACCAGTCGATCTCGGAGAGGACGGCTTCATGCTTGCACTTCCTCAGGTCCTTGCGCAGGGCGTCGCAAAGCTGTGGGGAGTAGTCCTTGATGGCCCAGTAGAGCTTTCGGAGCTGGAGGGTGCGGTACTTGAGGTCCTTGGTCTTGTTGGAGCGGAAGGTGGCGCGGATAGTGTCTGTGAGGCGGTAGATGTCGTCGGTTGAGGTGTGAGCGAACTCGGCGATCTTCGAGTCCGTTGCGAGCGACATGTTGATGGCTTTGAGGTGTGATTCCAGTGTGATGGATGGGTTTCTTTTCTACTCTTCTTTTTTTGCGATGAACCGGACCTAGGGAAAGGAGAGGTTCGTGAGGGGAAGCTAGCAAATGTCGGGGTTCGGGGCCGCGGAGAAGAAGAGGAGATGGTGTTGGCGGTGGGAGATAGAGTTGCAAGGGTTGCCTCAACTTATGTAGTCCGAGTAGTATACATCAGCAGCCAAGCAGATGCGGAGGGTATCGGTATTAGCTTGTAGGGAAAAAGTGGTGGATGCGACAAAGCTCCACAGGTGCTCGGCCTCCGTGTCGCGTGGGTGTGATGGACAGGTACGCGAGGTAGGGAGGCACTCTGAATGTGTGGGTAGGGACTCCCGGGCTTAGAAACCTCGTCGGATGAGACGGTCCAGTTGTCCAAGGTCAGCCGGGTCCTTGGGAGATGCCGAATCGTTCAGAGAGTGCCAAAACCTCTTTTCCAGGACGATGCGAGAAACAATTCTATCCCGTTGGTGATGCGGAAGAAGAATCGTTGCAATGGGTCGGTCAAAAATGGTTGACGACGACACTTGGATGATACGAGTGCGAATGCGAGTGGTGGTGTATTTGGGGTGTAACCCGTAAAGCAAGGAGGGAGAGCAGGAGGACGAGCGGTTGGTGAGTGGAGAGGTGAGGGTAGGGGGAGGCGACTGCGCTGGACTGCACGTTGGAAACAAACTCGTCCCCAGGAAGGCGCGGGCAGGGAAGCTACAGGAACGGTGCGGTGCGCTAATTGCATGTGAACGGCACCCAGCAAGCAGCAATTGCTGTGACTTTCTCTTCCCCCGTGCCTCAGTTATTACCTGGGCTAGCACGGCAACCTTACGGATACAGATGCTTGGTTGCGACTGATCCGTACCGAATGGCGCTGCATAATAGGACGGGCGGGGAATGGAGGCCTAGATGTCCCGACGGAGCGGGCTGCGACGGGGGACGCCGTCCGATCATGTCCTACCTACCTACCTACCTATGCTGCGGCCCATCGGCCAACCGCTTTATCTCAGGTTCTTATGCTTGATGCTTTGGACAGCTAGTCGCCGTGATGAAAATTGGATGCTCTTCATTATTTCATACTATTTCATATTATGCCGAGCTATACCGAGCTAACGAGAGAACACTGCCTTCTGAGAGACTAACAGCTTCAGGTGAACCATCCGTCAATGTCAGATTGACGGTCGCATGCTGAGCTTTGAGCTTTGAGCTTAGATAGAGTCCGAGGCAAAGCTGAGAGCTCTACCTTAGCCTGGCATGCCAGGCGTGCCAGGCTACCTTAGGCCCCCTCTCTTTTGCTACCTACCTTATCGAAGACCGCCCGGGGCGCCGCGGCCGCCCGCCATTCCCGCCGCTGCGTTTCTTCCCCACATGGGTACAGACGCCACCCCCTGCAGCCATTTGCACCTGCATGACCTCGACGTGCAAGAATATGGTAGGCAAGACTAGAGAAGGGCAAAAAAAAAAAATTGCCGAGGCATCACTCAACACTTTGTTCCATGCGGCTGACTAAACTCGAGCAATCCCTGTCCCTGAAGCGCGTCTATTTTCCCACCCGAGTACCGCTTTTTTGGTGCATTAAAGTTTTAACCCATTGTTCTCCACCGTGAATCACATGGGCAACAACTTGCGGAAAGTGGTTGGTTCTATCCAAGTGCTGGGCATTGGACATGCATACTTATTTGAATGACATCAATTCAGTGTCAGTCGGGCAAAAGGCCCTGCGAGAAGGATTACGACCTTCAACTCTGACAGCAATCCATGGTTCCCAGGCAAGATCCCCGTCTAACCCGGCTTGCCCACCAGCTTCTTTTTTGATAACACGCCTCGGGCTTTCCGCCACTCTTCTAATCAGCAGCATTCTCCACAAGCTTGTAGTCCCCATGTTGAGAAAACGCCTTGAACCGTCGTCCACTTTTGAAACAGCGATACGAGTCGCCTACACAAGCCACCATTGTTTTTGAATTTCTATAATTCCGATCTGGCACGGAAGTATACATGGAGATATTACACGGACAGGCAAAAGTCCATAAACGGACCGCGCCGCCTAGTCATACACGAGATTTAGTTCCCCCCCCCTTGTGAACGGGAGACCGAGTCTGCGGTCCTCAAGCCGGCTTGTAGGAGTAGTACGGATACGCAAGGCCTCCATCTCCTTTTACCGACGGGGGAGACCCCTTGACTTGTTGCCACCTCGGCCCCGGACCGTCACCATCTCGGCCACCTTGCCCTCCGCCTCCGGTGACGGCGCCGCGAGGAACTGCTCAATCTTCTCCGTGCCGTCGATAACCTGTCCCTCCTCCAGCTTGCCGGCGTCGATCTCGAGCGTCCGCAGGCGGTACCCGTCGAGCTCCTTGCGGCGCTCCTCCGTCATGCGCCACTCCTTGGGAAACTTGGGCTTGTTCTTGAAGACGTGGTGTCGCGTGTCGAGGGGGATGTCCTTGAACGTGTCCTTGGGGTCCTGTGGAAAGAGATTCTATCGTCAGCCTTTTCTTCTCGTGCGACGTGGCCAGCACGTAATCCTTCGGGACATGTGTGTGTGTGTGTGTGTGTCTGTGTATGCTCACCTTGGCGCTCGCAATGAGGTCATCCAGCAAGTTGGACAGATAACGCTTATTCTGCGCCTGGTGCTCGTACTTCTCGGAGCTCATCTTGACGATGTCCGTCTCCGGGTTATACCGCGGCCCGACCAGCTTGCGGAGCTTGTCCGCCTGCACCTCGGTGAGTCCCAGATCAGCCGGCGAGAACTGCATGACCACCTTCTTCTCCGCCGGGTGGTACTCGCCCATGTACGACGTGTATCGGAAGCGCAGCACCTCGCCCTCCTTGGGGGGCTCGAAAGGCTTGGCGAGCTCTGTTTTTGCCGGGGTTTCCGCAGTCAGCAAGTCGTCCCTAGGCAGAAGAGCTCAACCGGGGCTGAGGGTAACAAGTTCACGTACTGGACAGCAGCGGCATCTCCCACGCCATGATTCGGTGGTAGTGTCTGTACTCGCGGATCTCATCCAACTTGCCGTGCGCCATGGGCGTGATGTCGTTCTCGTCAAACTCCTCCATCGCGCCCTCCGTCGAGGCTGTCGGGTCGTCCTCGTCGTACCAGAACGACGACTTCACGGGTCGGGATTCAGACGAAACCTTCTTCCACTCCTGCGAGGTCAAGATCGGCTCCTGCTCCTGTTCGTCCCTCCCCATTTCTTTCTTGAGGTACTGCGCCACCGACATCTGCTGAGCCTCCGGGTCAAGCTTCCTGACTTTCTCGAGAGCCTGGAGCTCCTCGGGCTTGAGACGCTCCACCATCTCCTCGATGGTCTCACGCTCCGGCTCATAAATTTCGTCGAATTTCAACGCATCGTTTCCCTCGTCGTTCCGCGCCCGTCTCGTGGTGCTGGCGGCGAATTCTCGTCTCTGGATCTGGCGGTGGGCGAATGTCGTCGTCGTCGGGTGGGGTGCGGCAATGCGCGGAGTCGTGGGTATCCTACGACTGCTGCGAACACAGAGTCGGAATGCTTGCCCTGCTGCTGCCATGTTGGGCGGGTTGGCTTCGTTTACATCGGCCGAGTGCAATGCTTGGTTCCTGAGTTGGTCGCGCTTTACTGAGATGGCGTTGGGAATTGTTCCCCGGAAATTTTTGGACGGAGCTCCAGCCACATTGCCCCATTCAAGCCACACTATTAGGTGGGTCCATCACGGCTACCTACCTCATCAACGCCACAAAACCAGTATCATTCGAAAAGCGTTCAGAATAATCATCAGTTAAAAGGAAAGTGCCCGGGAAGCTCAAGTGGTTAATAGCCCTGTCCTCTTGCATGTTCGATTTCTCTGAAGTATATAGGCTCGAGCCTTGACTCTGCCTTTTGCCTTTTGCTTCGATCTCTTTTTCAATTTCTTGGGGCCCTTTCCAAGTACATACACCCTTACAGGATATTCAATTATCAATGGCAGCAGCCTTTTATGTCAATTGACATTCCTGATCGATCGAATATCATCTTCCGTCTTTCGGACTATTCTGCCGTCTTCCCCAGAGAGCTCAAGAATACATATTATGGATTCTCTACAACGCATTTGATGTTGCAATGCCATTCTGGTGATTATAATAGGGTAGGAAACATTCATTACGGTATCATCAACTCCTTACATATCTTATTGCGCACAACTTCCCTCCATTAGAATCCTCCTCGGTATGCCTAGCATTCTCTCAAAACCCAGATGGTCTCCGATTCATGATCCCATTACTAAACTGCTTTGCCTTATCCAGCGTGTTCTTCATTCCCAAGAAAGAAGAACGATGGGATTTCATGTCAGGCCTGCTACGCAAACGTCAGCTTCGGTATCCTCATTGGAAGGTTTGACCAATCATGAGAAAACTCACCTTCCATCCTGACCGACCCATTCCTGTTGTTGCTGCTGCTGCTGAGGCGGCGACCCGTTGCCTGGACCAAAGTACGACTGCTGCTGCTGCTGCTGCTGACCACCGGAGAGAGGCGGGCTAATCTGCCACGCACCCGGCAGCTGGTACGGCAAATCAGGGAACGGCTGCATCTTCTGCGGCGGCGTCGTCCCCGGACTGTGGCTCGGCCTGTCGAATGATGATGGGTCATACGGAGCATGGTAGTCCACCGACATCTGGCTGTTGGCCGCAGGCTGCGAAGCGAGTTGTGTCTGGCTCGCGTATCCCGCTGCTTGGTACGCGGGCGCCCCGGGATACGACGTCGAATTCTGATAGGAAGAGCGCTGGTCCATGCTCGCCCTGCGAAGCGCGGCTGGCGGCGCTGGCGGTTGGAACTGGCTGCCCGACACGTTTGACGGCGCAGGCGTGCTCGGCGCAGGCTTCCGTCGGATCGGGGCCTGGCCGGGTGAGATGAGCGGTTCGCCGGCAGGGAGGCTCTCGGCCTGCGCGGCCCACTGTAGCGTCGGCTGCTTGACAAAGGCAGGCTTCGAGGCGTAGGAGTCCATGCGGGTCAGCTGGTCGAACTCGTAGTGCGCGAGCTGCTCCTCCAGCTGGACTTGCTGGGAATATCTGCGCTGGGAGGGCAATTCCGCGATCGTTGTCGGTGGCATTTCCACAGGCTCCCGCTCCGGCACCTTCTGCGGTCGGTGCGGCAGGGATGTGAAGTTTTGGAGCAGCGAGACTTGGGTGACGAGGGCGGCCTCGAGCTCTTCGGACAACTCTCTGACGGGCCGGAAAGCGCTCTCTTCAGATGCTGCATCGTCGACCTTTTTGGCGCTGTTTGGGAACGACTCCGTTCTCGGGGTGTCTTCGTCGCTGCCCTTGTCATTATCTCCATCAAAGACGTCGCCTCTCTCCTCAGAGCTCGTTAGCTGCTTGTTATCTTGGCCCTGTGATGGTTGTACATCCTCATCGTCATAGTCGAGACCCCGGTTTCCAAACCCAGTGCTACGGACCACCTCCGAAACGGCCGTATTACCGTCCTTCATGGCCTTGCTAATAGCCGCCATCAATTCCGAAACGCGCTCTACGAGCACAGCTGTACAGTCCTCATCGTCTCCGTACTGTATGGCTGACTGAAGCGCGTTTTCGTTGTCATTGTTGACGTGGAAGATGTCGGCGCCATTGTCCAAGAGGAACTTGACGCTATCCGCATCTCCCGCTCGTGCAGCAACGATTAAGGCTGTATCGGCCTCCTGATCGGCCAGGTTGATATCGGCGCCCGCATCCACCAGAACGCGTAGCGACTCGACCGGGAGGGTGGCGGCGGCGTTGATCAAGACTGTCGAGTTGTCAAAGCCTCCAAAGACGTTGACTTCGGCTTTGGCTTTTACAAGGAGCTCGAGGATCGCCTGTTCTCCTTTCAAGGCAGCTGCGATAAGAGGGCATGTTTCCTCCCCAGTGCCGAGGTCAGGGTTGGCGCCGCGCTCAAGCAGGAGGGTGACGATTTCTACCTTGCCTGATTCGCACGCTACCTGGAGAGCAGTTCCCTGCGGGAAATTCTCATTCGTGGTGAGATCATTGACGTCAGCCCCTCGGTCGAGAAGCTCCTTGACTACATCGTAATGACCTTCGGCAGCGGCAGCCTGGATAGCCCATCCGTTGGGCGCGTCGATATCGGCGCCTCTGTCCAAGAGTAATCTGATAATGTCAAGGGTCCCATCGTATGCTGCGGCAGTCAAGGCGGTCCCGTAACTGACCACTGTTAGTTTGATCCACACAGTGATGTAGCAGGGCAACTCACTAGTCTCCAGTGGCATTGGGGTTGACTTTGAAATCATCAATTAACAACCTGACAGTCGATTCTTTCTCGAGATCAGTGGCCTCGTACAGACTCTCGTTGAGTGTCTCCTGTCTGATATTGCCGTTTGTGTATTTCCAGACGGCCTCCAAAACCTTGTCTTGATGCTCCGCCGTTCTCGCCGCACTGAGGAAAAGGTCGTTGCAGTCGAGGCCCCTGCGCTGCTCCAGGAGTATCACGACAATGTCCCAATTCTCTTCCTTTGCCGCCACCTCTAGCGCAGTCTGGAAGCAATTTTGAGGGTGGGAGTAAGTTAGCAACTTGTAGAACACGTCCACTCTGCCAGAGACGGCAGCCTTGATGAGCGCCTTGTCAAATTCCTTGGCCGGGAGCTTGTCAGCGTATGTATGCGTGAGATACTCAAACATGGAGAGGTCTGCATGGAGACCAGCCAGTGCCAGAGGCGAGTCGATGTTATCGTCCTCGACGGCCAACGAGACCTGCTTCTCGACGAGTAGCTTGACGGCGTCTGGACTACCGGAAGTGATGGCGGCATTCATTACTGGGCCGACTCTATTCGCGATAGCATTGGCATTCGCACCCCTCTTAATAAGCTTGTCCATGACTTTGACGTGGCCAGCGAATGCGGCCTTGTGTAACGGTGTCTCTTTACCAATCTCGATGCCATCGTCGATGCTGGCACCTCTCTTGAGAAGCTCATCCACGATGTTTGGTCTGCCGATGTATGCGGCGAAATGAAGCTGCCACCAGGGTTAGTAAAGAACCACAAAAGAAAAACCAATGAAATAACAAGCCGGTAAGGGCTCAAGGGCCGGATGGGTAGCTAATTTCGCCTTACAGGGGTGTTCTCAAGACTATCTCTCTTATTGATCTCGTCCTCATGGCCGTTCTGAATGAGCGCAGAAACGAGTTGCTTGAATCCGATCGCAGCCGCAATGTGCAAAGCAGTCAGCTCCTTGGGCAAGAAACCGTCGAGCACCTTTGTCATGGACATGTATACGACGAGCCACCGGTACCGGATCAAAGACTCGGTCCGCCAGAAGTCATCTTCGCTGAGATCCTCCGCAATCTCCAACGTGGCCTTACTGGCGTGGTGAAGCCAGTGCTTGACAGGATATGGTAGCACCTTTTCAGCCAGTATTCTTGCCTCTTCATCCTCGTCGTCTTGTTGGTAGCCGTATGTGGACTCGTCGTCGTCGTCCCAGTCCGTGTCGCTGTCCGAATCGTCTTGATCAGAATCAGTGGCAGCACTTTCCTGGCCATCTACTTCAGATTCTTCCCTGTCCTCATCCCCGTCCTCTACAGACTGCGTCTCTGTTTCCTCGCTTTCCTCGTGGGCCTCCTCAACAGGCTTCTCCTCCGCAGGGAAGTCAAACGCATCCTTGATGTGTGCCAAGCACCGCAGTGCAATGATGCCCTGTTGCCATTTGCTTTCGTCGTTCGACATGCCGAGAGTCTTCCTGGACGTCTCCTTTTCCAAAAGATGTTCTTTGACGACCCTGTCCATGAAGCCGATTGTGTTCTCTGACTTGCCGCTTCTCTTCACCGTCAACAACGGCCTGCATTTTTTTACCAAGTCTTGGAGCTCAGCTTTTCCCGAGTCCGTGGCAGGAAATCCTGCCAAAACAACGAGCTCGTCCTCGGTGGGCTCTTCAAACGTCAGAACGAGTGTCCGCAACAGCTCCTTGATCTTGTCGGTCTCCTTTTGGTTTGAGTGGAAAATCTTTGCCCACGCAGCGTCCAAAAGAGCCTTAAGTTCCTGGGGCATCCCCTCAAGCATATGCCTGATCTTGAGATCGCTTTCTGCGTCGGGGAGCTCTGCGAGCTGCATGCAGGAAAGCTTGATCCACTGACTGTTGGATGCTCTCTTCCCAATCAGACTGCTCGCATAGTAGGTGAGCGCCTTGTTGTACTTCTTCGAGCTGCCCAGTTCTTGTACCTTCTCTTGCGCCGCCTTGCGCAGCTCCCGCTGAACCTGGTCGCAGTACTTGTCATCCTCGAGATCGATAAGCTGAATTCCTTCTACCTTTAGGTAGTCTTCAACGTGATGGACTTCTCTGCTTGTGAGAAACCACCTGGTAGGGACTCGTTTGTCATCCTCACTCTTCAGTCCTTGTAGCTCGGCGTTGAGGAAACGCATGAGTTTGACAGTTGACTCGGCATCTTCTGGCAGAACATGCAAATTGTTGATGATGAAGTAGACCCTGCGGCCGATGAATTCGTCCGTGAGAATATCCCGAAGAGTCTGCCAAAGATTTTCCACTGTGAGGATCGCCGAATTCTCGCCCTTCTTTTTCACAAAGTGCTTCGCGTAAACAGACAAGGTGGCTTGCTGGCCAATGAGCTGCCGCACCAGGGACTTGAGTAAGTCTTCAGCAGTCAGGAAGTCTGAAGAAGGGTCGCAGAAGAAGTAGGCAACGAGGGCGCGTCCTCGACCATCATTCCCCTTTTCGTCGGCTTGTATGATTTTGTCAATGTCCTGGAGGGCCGCCATAGTTGCTCGCGTCTTTCCTCTACCCTCAGGACCACGGATATACACAGCCTGTCCTCTGTTTTTCCGTGTCGCACTCCCCGTATCACGGTCGTCTTTCAACCATTCCAAGTATGCCTCCGCTTTGGGAATCCATATCGATGGCGGGAACTGGGGCTCCAGCATTTTCCGCTTCCTCGAAACTTGGCCGCCGTTCAGCAACTCCATGACATTGTTGACGACTTCTGGCTCGATTCCACGGGTCGAGTTCAGTCGGTTCTTGGCCACGAGATTGGCGCCATGAATAAGTCTCTTGAGGGGCTCTCTGACGAGCTGATACCGGGAGTCCTTGAAGTCGCTGAACTTTACAAGATCTCGATGATTGGCAGTAAGGGCCATCTCCTCGATTCCAGGCAAGGTCGCCGACGCTCTCGGGACGAAATCTTGCAGATTCTTGGGAATAACTGCCTTGGTGATTTTCGACATGGCTGCTCCGTACTTTTCTTGGGTAAAGTCGGTTTGGTGAATCTCGTAAAAGCAGAAGAGCTGGACGGCAGGGCTCAGTTTGAGAGCCAATCGTAGAAAGTCGCCTCGCAGTTCGTTCAAGCTCTCATCTCCAGGCGTCATCATCTTCACTAACGCCGACGACTTGGTATACCCAAGTTGCTCGCCGACATAACCGAGCATGGAGGCGACGGCGGCAACTTGAGCACCGCCGAAGGGCGTTCCAAAAAAGGCGCAACCGGCAATGCACTCAAACAGCCTAGGGAAGATGTCCCGATACGTCTCTGCGGCAAGTATGACAGCCTGGATGTGTCGTCAGCCTCAACGCAGTTCGCCAATTGGTTTTGAAGCCTACCTTTGCGATAACCAAGCCTCCCATACTATGGCCGATGAATACGATAGGACGATCTCTGATGTTCTAATCTCAGATCAGAGCGAGCCCATGGTTAAAGATTCGATACAATCAACCTACCTCCCGATTTGCTTGCAACCCCTCCAACATTGATTTGGCAATGTCCCTCATAAAAGTCTTTACTTTGAGGTCTCCAACCCACGCTGATTCATACTGATACAGCAGTATGCGAGCTTTGGGGAAATCCCTCGCCAAGCCCTCCTTTTTGCTCGTAGATTCAGACGAGGGCTTCGAGACGCCATCCCCGGTTGCCCAGTTGAACCCGGTCTCCGACTTCCAACTGTCCTCCGGGGATGCACCTAGTCCAGGCACAAAAACAATGCTATCGAACTGTTAGACCCTCATGAGACCACACTCTCAACCTAGGTAGCAGGCGAGGCATACTCAACATCAATGGCAGAACCAGTCTCTTTCTGGGGATTGTACAACTCCTTGAAGCCCTGCTGAACCGTCTGATACGTCGTCTTGGGCTTCGGCAACCCGGCGGCGCCGTGAGGCACCTTTTTCGTTCCAGCGCGGCGGATAGACATGATGATCCCGCTCACTGCGAAGACTTACACAACAACAACCTGACAACCGCGACTTCCGAGAAAGAGGGGATCAACAAGCTTTGAATACGAGCCACGGAGCTAGGCACCGGCGTAATAAGCGTAGCCTGACAGGGCTGCCACTTGGGGTCCAAATTCTAATATGCCCTCCCCCTGCAACTGGGCGGCCCGAAACGACCTTAGCGGCGTCAGCCACCCCCATGCATTGTAATCCTGCGATGCCAACGATCGTCCGACTGCGCCAATAGTGTCATCAGCTGAACCAAAACCGCCTCTAATTTTGTAGCGCTGTCACACAAGTAAGCATTTGGTCTCACGGTGCAGTGGCGGGTTCGGGTTCGTCTGTATTTGGGACCCAACACGGTTTGCTGCTGCAGGCTGAGGTTCTAGGCACTCAAGTCATCTTAAAATGACAGGGGGGCTGCCGCTGTTGGAACTCATGGAATCTCGTTGCCTACTCTTTTTGCACCAGCCGAATCAGTTTTGTTGGAAAGGTTCTTAATCACGCCGTTGACTATTTTCGGGTGGGCTTTTACCACCGCCAGAGTCGTTTCTATTGCGGGCGCTTCAGCAAGCCAAAAAGGCCCTATCTCGCCCGCTTACCGACGGTCTGGCAGACTGCGTAGACTGCGCCTCGGAGGACCGTGATATCTCTCTCATCAAAGATTAGAAGAGCGTCGGGACCGAACGTATGTGGAAAGACACGCCGAAGACCAGCACAAAGCCGATTGTCATCCGCACGTCAAGCTTCTCGAGTCGCACCATGGAGAAATCGTCTGTGCCCTTTCCCATCCGGGTACTCGATGACACCGTCAATCAGGCGGTGACAGCGCGAGAGCCAAGAGACTGGAGCGATCTGCTGCCGGCAACGACCCGAACCAAGCACGATCACATCACCGTGCCGCAAGCCGACGATGTCGAGTTTCTGGAACGAGAGCTGCTCGTCCGGCGACTCAATGACATACAGGATCTCCTCTGGATCTGCGGTCGTCCGATGCCGCCTCGGCCTCTCCATTACCAGATATTGACCTCCCGCGAGATCCACGTCACAGAGAACCCCGAACTTCATCTAGTCTGGGCTAAGAACCGCATCTTCATCAAGCCGATGCCAAGGTGGCTGCTAAACCCAGAATTCTGGGCTACGAACTTGGCCGAAGCTTCGGACAAACAGTCTGATCCGCGGAAGCAGCAGCTCGTCAGCTGCGCGCTCGGTTTCCTCTACACTTACACAGCCCTCATTGCGTACGAGAGCGACTTCCGCATAGCCGTCGATAAAGGCCTCGTCCCGGATGGGATGAAATGGTACCAGTGGAAGGCATTATCGGCCCAGATCGCGCAGAACCATTGTTATGCATCTGTCAACCCGCGGTACTGGTACGGCGAGCTCCGTCTCAGTCGGCTGAACAAGATTTACCGCATCCGCTTGGGATACGTGCTCCGGGGGTTTTCCAAAGTAGTTTCTCATGCCGTGTACGAAGACTTGCTGCGGGACAACTTCGCAACGCTGGCGGCGGTGCTCGGTTATGTTGTCATCGTCCTGACGGCCATGCAGGTTGGCTTGGCCACGGACAGGCTTGTTGGCGACGGCGCGTTTCAGAGTGTGAGTTACGGCTTCACAGTCTTTTCGATCCTGGCGCCACTCATTGCCGGCGCTTGTATAATTGGCATTGTAGTGGTCATGTTTGTGAGCAACTGGGCGGTGACCAAGGCGTACGAGACGAAGAGATTCCGAGAGATGGGTGTCGAGCCTCTGTCAGACATCAAAAGGCAGACGGCCAATGCACATAAGTAGGTGTGAAGCAGGATGGTTTAGAAATACAGGGCGGGAAAACAGATACCCCATGAAGAAAACGTAATGATTGCAACACAACTTGTGAAATTGAAGTAATTACCTAGACGATGTGATATGGACATGGTTCAGATTAAGGTAGGCTGGTCCGGCACACCAGTTTCCAGCCGTACGGGACGCCAGGCCATGGACGGGCCCTAACCAACGTGCTAACTTACCTGGTCAGGGCGTCTATCCCTGGCGTCCCGCCTTTTTAAGGGCCGGCAGCCGCTATAACACGTCCCGATCTGCTAGCCCGCCCCACGACCGAGCTGATGCCAATCGCCTATGCCACAGCGGTTGAACGTCAAGCGCAAGGCACCTATCTCAATTACAGGCGGGGAGTGTGTGTACCTTGGGAAAGTACCTTTTTGTGAGAGCTTCAACATAACCTCACAACCACCACGCATCCAGACTTCACGCTTTCGAAAACGTCTGGCAATTTCAACACAACCGCCGCACACCCAATCCCAATCCACCGGCGATCAACAGAGTCGGGTGGTGCTACCAATCATGGCCACAAAACCCTCTGCCCGCCTTGAGCGCCACTGCCTTGTAACAGTAGGCGCAACAGCGCGCTTCACCCAGCTCCTGACCGAGGTCTTGTCCGCCGCGTTCCTCGACTTCATCGCCGAGAGCCGCTACACGCACCTCACCCTGCAATGCGGTAAAGACTACGCAGATTTCTCCCGCCAGATGCTGCCTCCGCTGCTGAATCGGTATCCTGGAATCGAAATCACCGCCTTTGACTTTGTCGACGATCTGACTACCGAAATGGTAAAGTGTCGAGCTCAGCCGGGCGTGCGCGAGGCTGGTGTGGTCATCTGTCATGCAGGTAAGCCAGGGGCAAGCATTCATCACACGTCATCACATGATTCTCTTCGATTTGGAATGTGTGTAAGAGCTGTTTTAGCTGATCCTGATCCTCAGGCACGGGAACCATCCTCGACGGAATGCGCGTTAGCGTCCCCCTCGTCGTGGTCCCCAACCCGACCCTCAAGGATAACCACCAGGTCGAGCTGGCCGAGGAGATTCAGCGCCAGGGCTACGGGATCTGGGGCCGCCTCGGTGACATCTCGTGGGCCCTGGAGCAGCTGGCACTGCAGCTCGATAAGACCGAGCAGCAGTACCGGCCTCACCCCGTCGGCGTCGGCAGCGGCAGCGGGGCGGCGGCGGACCCGGTGGATGTGAATCTTTGGCAGGTCAGCAGTGCGTTAATGAATCGGTACTCCGATGAAACCGGTCCTGCCGTACCCAGGAGGACCAAAGTAACTGACGGCGGCGGTGCTGGAGAAGTCCAGCGGGAGGAGGTGGCGCAGATGACGATGGGCTAGGAGTCTCATCAACGCTGGACACCCCTTCCGTCCTTTCGGCGATCAGGGATGGATTAGGATGAGGGACGATTATGACGAACACTTGATGAGGTTGTAAGAGAGAAAAAATGCAAGGAATGGGGTGCATGATATGAACAGTCAACCTTAGCAAAGAGCTTGCTCCTAGACACGAAAGATACCCTAAATTTGAACAGCGCTCTTCATCGAGATAACATCATGTTGCTTTTCATTTATTCATCCAACACCTACTGAAAACATCTACAGACTCCACACCGAGCCCAGCTATTGCCTATTGCAGCCCAGTCACGGTCCAAACCTTGATCGCGGCATCGCCTCCGGCGCTCGCAATCTTGCTGCCACCCTCAACCCACGCGACGCCGTTGACACCATCCTTGTGGGCGTTGAGAGCCTTGACACGGCTTCCAGGCTTTGCTAGACTCCACACGCACACGTTGGTATCCAGCGCTCCTGAGACGGCGTGCGTTGCGGCATCGCTCCAGCTTATACACGTAACCCTCGCAGTGTGCGCAGACCAGCGGTCCGTTGCAACCTCCCAGTCGCCAGTCTTGTAGGCGACGATCTTTCCGATTTGATTTCCCGCGGCGAGGTACTGGCCGTCGTTGGAGAACGACAGGCAGGAAATCAAAGCCGTCGACTTGTCGACCGACTTTGTCTCGGAGAGCTTGCCTGACCCGTCCGCAGTGTAGATCTTGACGGAGTTGGCTGATCCCACGGCCACCGTCGAACCGTAGGCAGCTACAGCGCCGGGAGTGAATCCGAGGCGGTTCTCAGAAAGGAGCTGGCCCTTCTGGTAGACATCGACGCCCTCGATGGTGGCCACGTACACCTTTCCATCCGTAGCCGCCACGCCCTTGGGTTGGGCAGCAAGCTTGACGGCCTCGCCTGAGAACGTGTTGGCCGACTCGTCTACTATCCGCAGGTGGTCGTCCCATCCGACACTGTACGTCTGTCCCGCCTCGGCACTGAACTGAGTGACTTGATTTGTGTGCGCCTGGCCGTCAACCACTGAACCAGTGCCCGTGGCAACATCCCACTGGCAGACACGGCCGTCGAAGCTACCGCTCCACAGCGTCTGGCCCTTGCCATCAGACGACGCGCCCAATGCCGTGATGCTCTTGTTGTGGCCCTGGACGATCTTGCTAGGTTTGTCGCTGCCCTCGTTCAGGTAGATTAGATCGCCATTAAGGTTCAAGCTGATAATCAGGCCGTCGGTTCTGCCGTGCGGGTAGACAACGCCAACTTGCTGGTCGCCGATACTGACACCGTCGCCAAACTTCCACGTCTGCGTAGCCTTGCCTGACTCTACGTCCCAGAGCTTGACGGTCTGGTCCGCACTCGCTGTGACGAATTTGGTGCCATCCTGGGCCCACGAGACGGCAAAGATGCTGCCAGTGTGTTCTCCCTCGCCAATGGATTTCGTAGGCTCGCCCGTCTTTCCGTCGTAGAGCTGAATGCGTCTGTCGGCGCCAACCGTCACGAGCTGGCTGCCATCGGGCGAGAAGGCCGTTCCAAAGACGAAGCCCTTGTGGGCGTTGGCATTCTTCGAGTTGAACTTGAAAGGCGCGCCGTGCAGGAAGCACAAGGAGCTGTCATCAGAGACCGTCGCTGCCCGCAGCGGACGCTGTTGCCGCACCGCGACCGAGTTGACCACCTTGGAGTGACCGCTGATCTCTCCGACCGAGTTGCCACTGTCGGCCGTAATGCAGTGGCCGAAGCGCTCCTTGCCGTCGCCGACGGCGATGATGCGCTGGGAGTCGCCATCCCAGCCAATGTCGTTGATGCGCCCCGAGATGATGTGGTATTCGCCTAGCAATGTCATTAGTACCGACCGACGGAGAGCTGACGATGGCGTGCACAGGTTACGCTGTACCCTTTGTGTTCTCGGCCTCGACAGCGTCCCAAACTCTCACGGACCCAGACACATCTCCACTGGCGACATAGAAGCCGCTTGGCGAGAAACGGGCGACGCTGGTTGCCGCCGTGTGACCGGTGTATTGCTTGCACACGGAGGGGTTGTCGATGGATCGGAGGAAGATGGATTTGCCAGCCTGCGAGAACCATTGTCAGCTGAGGCATTGTTTGTCATGAGGTGCCGGTTGGACTAACAGCATAGGCAATGCGCTCTCCTTTGTTGTCTGTGGAAAGCTGCGTGGGCTGGCCACGCTGAGTAGCGGGCGAAGCAGCCAAGATCTTTTCAATGGTGACAGACATGATGAGAAGTCCAAGCACGCTGGTATACAATGCGAATAGAAGTCCCTAAAGCTCCGAGCAAAGATGTTGAAATGTTCGAGAGGCTTGGGGAGTGAGCCAGGCACCACAATGGCGGTCGACGGTGTCGGGTGGGAACCTGGACCAGGAGCTGGGATGGCGATCTGGGATGGAGGGGCAGTGCTACTGCTACCTAACTCTTGCTACTGCGGGGCAGAAATGACGTTCCAGGTCCCTCTTTCGCTAGTCAACCACTCACACCGTCTGACGCGGCCATTGTCTGGGGATGTTGTAGACATTCTGCAAGCATTGCGACTGCTTGGTATTGTGTTGATAGACGACGAGTAAGAGTTGTAGGCACTGATTTGGATTTGAGCTGAAGTATACCATTAACTCGGGTAGCTCACGAGTTCCATACAAGTACATCGTGTGCTGAACATGTGATATGGAGGCATCCGCATAAGAGACAACCAGTATATTTGTACATCCAACCAACTAAAATGCACCTCAGCTCAGAAAACGAGAAGTAACGGCCGTTTCTCCAACTGTTGGCCGATTACCAAAGAACCTTCCGAGTACCTTGTTCTCGAAGGAATCCAAATTGAAAACCAAGTGAGTTACAGGCACGAAAACACACTCTGAGTAAAACAATGAAGCGCCCACCCAGCACTCAAAATCTATATACGCCTGCTATGGCTTCCCCAATGGAACAGTGTCTGTACTGTTGAGGTTTCCCGTTAGAAAAGAGCCTTCACACAGCTGAACCAGGCCTCCACAGCCGTTGCCACGGCGTGGGTCGATGGCTATGTGGTGCATGTGGCGGACTCCCCACACGCAGAGGGTACATAGTGAGCCAAAACACTCCGGAATTTCAACAAACGTCGTCGCTTTCCTAGCTCAATTTGGTCAGAGCGTCCGACTTTTAATCGGAAGGCTGTGGGTTCGAGTCCCACGGATCGCGTCCATTTCTTTTTTCGTCTATGGCTGTTCTGGACTATGACCCAAATGTTGCGAATCATTTTGCCATTGCGTTCTGAGAATGTAGGTCCATGTTTCTTCATCCGCATCGCTGGGTAGGTATGTATGTAAGGCATGTACGTACTCCGCTTCGGGTACGGCCCGGGCCCGACAGTGAAAGGCCGCGAGGAAGCAGCAACCGCACCATGAGGAAGTCGCAGCATCACTTCCACGCGACGCCTACAACCATGTATTGCCACTGCACCATTAATCTACATCACTCATGAAGGCCTGAGGAAGAATCTGCCACTGATTTTTCCCCCGCGCCAGCCAATCGAGATTCTCAGGCACATCAGCTGGACCACCAATCCTTACAGCCATGAATTCCCACCGTTGACCATCACATTCAATCATAACATCAACGCAGCCGTTGCCAATGAACAACAGTCCCCCTTCGCGGACGAGGTGACATCTCCGTTCAAGAACCCGGTTCTTGCCGCACCACGTCGCCTGGACGGGCACCCACGCCGAGATGCGCGGCCATTGCGTCACGGCCATCGATCCATAGGCAAAACCCAGGTCGAAGAGCACCCAGAGGGCTTCCTTGTCGACGGTGCAGACCATGGTCTTGGGGAACCGGCCCAACGTCGGATCTGCCGAACCGGTAGAAGAAGTTAGGCTCGGGATTGCGTAGCGACCTTCGACGGAACCTAACCCTGGGAGGCTGGCGCAGACGTAGGCAGGGGCCGGGGCTTCGTTAACTAGAGGGGGTTTCGTGGTCTCTGGGTCTGGCGGAGGAGTCCTGAAGGGGGAGCCCAGAGAGCGAAAGATGTTCGTGATCGACCCAAGTGGGTTGTCCAAGACGGCAAAGCGCGAGGAAAGCGTGGATCTCTGGCTGATGCTATGCGAGGACGTCGACTGTCCTCCCCGTGTCTGCGTGGTGTTAAAGTTGAACCCATTTCCGATGAAAGACGAAACGGGAGCAACTCGGCGGGCCGCTGCTAAACCTGGATGACCCGAAACCCCTTGGTTGCCTCGTAAGGACATCGCAGAGACGCCTCTTAACCCCCTCGCCAACCGTCTCAGTTCCCCAGCCGCAACACCCAGCACACTCTGCCCATCATGCGCACCGGTCTCCCTCCTCCTCGACTTCAAAGCCCTCCACCCCTCCTTCATCTCCCTCTCCAAGCCCAATAGCTTCTCCGGCACGACCAAAGGCTCCAGACCAACGACAGCCTCCATCAGAGTCCATTTGGCCTTCTGCCCGCCCTTGGCCGGCGGGAGCCCGTAGTGGATAAGTTGGGCCTGGTAGTCCGCCTCTGAGAAGCTCTCCACGGCAGCCGCGCCGTGAGATACGATGTCATGGTAGTGTCTCCCCAGCTCGGCCAGTGTCCGGCGGCTGTGGACGGCGCCGTTGTCTGCGATGATGGCGAGGACAGTGCCTGAGAAATGGAAATTGTCGCGGACGACTGGGATGCTAGAAGCGGGTGTGAGGTTGTTCATGATGGACTGAGACGGGTGATATCTTGGTTGCTTTCGTAGTTCCGAGTATTATATAGGAACGAACGAGGGACAAACGAGGGACTTGGCCACAGGAAGAACAGAAAGACCCTAATAAAGACCTCATCCGAACAAGGTTCGAGTCTGTCCTGGATCCAAAGGTCCTGGATCCAAAGGAGCCTGAACGGTTACATTGACGATAAGACCAAAGGGTAGTCAGAAGCATGAACCCTATTCAGCTGTCATCTTACCAGGGTTATCACCATACCTTGAGTCCAAACATGCCAGTTTCAACATAAATTCTTGAATTCAGTTTATTCTCGTATTGTCCGAGCTAAAGATGCCCTATCACTAAACGACATGGCCCTCAGTCCCTCTATTGCGAAAGCCATACATGAGGCAACCTACAAGAAAACCGACCAGAGGTCATGCCAGACCAAACGCCTCCATCTATCGTAGCCACTGCCATGAAAAGCCATTACCCCAACCCAAGACCAATTTTACCAATACTCATGTAGCCTCGCCGGCCTCTATTTCTTCTTGCCCTTGGTTTTGCTTTTGACATTGGTAGTGGACTTGGTCGAGGCGACACTCGATGCCCTTGAAGGCGCAGCGGATGTGTTCTTGCTTCCAACCTCCGACTTGACGTTGTCTAGCGCCTTATTCTATGCGCATGATTAGCCGCATTCATTTGTCAGTTCATTCTAGTCCTAACCTTGACGCCGTTCTTAGTCTTCTTTTTCGAAGGGGCCATGCCGAGGATGCTGTCCTCGTCATTCTCCTCATCCTCTGCCTCTCTCTTAAGCTTGCCGTTGACGCCATTTGCACCCTTCGTGGGATGAACATCCTCGAACTCCTTGACAATGGTAGTGAGCAGCGTGGTGCAGCGACGGCTCAGCTCGACGGGCGTCCTGCTAAGGAAGAACCAGTCGAATCGGAACAAGGGGCTCTCTGCAATGTCGTCGCGCATCTTCTCGTACAGTCCGGCAGAGTCGATGCCATACTTGTCGAGAAGGACGAGCAAGAATCGATCCTCTTCCTCGGTGTAAACCTTCTTGTTGGTGGTAGAAACAGAATAGTTGATCTTGAGCTGCTGCAGGGGAACGCGGTATTGGGACATCTTCTTGCGGAGCAGCTTCCTCTGGTGCTCAATCTTGCGCATACGCTCCTCGCCGTCTTCAATCACCTTGATGTACTTGTTGTAATCGGCAATTTCCGTGTATCGTTGCCAAAAGACCTTGGCGTATTGCTTGACCTCGGAGGCAGTCTTGTTGTCGATATCTTCGGCAATGTTTGCGTAGTCGCTGCGACCATAGCGGCCTGAGGCATTGATGAATTGTTGGAAGTCACGCCTGTTCCATTCGCCAAATCCTTGCTGCGACAGACGCTGCTTCTCCTCCAGCTCTTCTTCGTTGAGCGGAGTGGCCTCGTCGATCTCCTGCTGATCCAAAGCACGCTCTGCCTCGCGCTCATCAAGATTCTCATCGTCGCCGTCAGACAACGGCACCTTGTAGCCAATTTCCTTGCGGTAGTAGGCCGTCTCTCGATCCTGGAGGTCACGCAATCTAGGCGGGTAGAATTGATAGTCGTGGACGGGGACTTGCTTAGGAGCTCTAGGTGCCTTTGGCTTTGAGTCCTTCTCCTTGGGCGGGTACATGGCCTGTCGGAAATACTTGTCCATGGAGTACGACTGCTCCTTTCGCTCACGCTTGGCGGGGTTGATCCAGTTCATGCCAATTTCTTTCTTGTTTGTCTTGAAGTCTTCACCGTTCCAGGTGTAGGCAGATTCTGAGGTGAAGTTCTGCAAGTCGTCGATACCAAGCTTCTCGTACTTGGCATTCAACTCCTTTGTTCTCGATTCACCTGAAGAAAGAATCTTGTCGATATCATCGTCGTCCAACTCGGTACCTTTGGAGGCCAGCGTACCAGTGGCGCCCTTGCTCTGGAACACCTTCTCAGCGCCATGCTGAATCATCGAGAGAAGCTCGTCCTTGTTATTGGCAGCCTTTGCTGCGACTTGAGCGCGCCCTTGCTGGATGACCAGCTGGTCAAGACGCAACTTTTGAGCTGCCCTCTCCAAAACCTTCTCCTCAATAGCATTGTCCGTCACAAAGCGGTACACAACGACCTGCTTGGTTTGTCCGATACGATGCGCTCGATCCATGGCTTGTAGATCGGCCTGGGGGTTCCAATCGCTGTCGTAGAGAACAACAATATCGGCAGTGGTGAGATTGATACCCAAGCCACCAGCTCTGGTCGTCAACAGGAAGATGAACTTTTCAGAACCGGGCTTGTTGTACTCGTCAATGGCAGCGATACGATCCTCGTGCGCAGTGCCACCATCAATACGGCAGTACTTGTACTCCCTGAACACACAGTAGTCTTCGAGAATGTCCAACAGGCGACTCATCTGTGAGAAGATGAGAACTCTGCTTCCCTGCTTCTGCATCCTCGCCAGCAATTTGTCGAGGACGGCCATCTTGCCAGCATTGTAAACCAGGTGCTCGTCGGTGGTATAGGGCGGGCCAGGCTCGGCACCTTCAAACAGGTAAGGGTGATTGCAGCACTTTCGCAGCTGCATCACAATGTTAAGCAACCTGGTCTTCGACTCCCGCTTGCCGTTGGCACCGTTGACAGCATCAATGTCCTTCTCGAGAATCTTCTGATACCACTTGATCTGCATTTCCGACATACCGAGGTAGACATTGACCTCCTTCTTCGGCAGTAAGCTCTTCTCCACGTCAGCCTTGACTCGTCGGAGCAGGAATGGTCTGAGAACACGGTGAAGCTGCTGTACGACGGTGTCCTGGTCCTGTTCTCTGCCAGAGAACCACTGGTCGAAGGCCTCGGAGTCGCCGAAAACGTCGGGCAACAAGAAGTTGAGCAGAGCCCACAGCTCGTGCAGGTTGTTCTGGAGGGGTGTGCCGGTGATAAGGAGTCGGTTTCGGGAGTTGAAGAGACGAATAACCTGTGCCAAGGATGATTCTTCATTCTTGATACGATGCGCTTCATCGATGATGATGTATTCCCATGCGAATTTCTTCAGGTGACTCTTCTCGCGCAGAACCATCTCGTAACTCGTGATGCAGACATCAAAGTCCTCATTGACCAAGCGATCATTGATGAGCGCCTGGCGCTCGTCCTTGGCACCTTGCAGCACCAGCACGTTGACTTCGGGAGTCCACCTCTCGAATTCTCGCTTCCAGTTATCCAGAGTTGACTTGGGCACGATGACGATGTGCGGTCCGGTGATATCCATGATGTGTCTCAGGTAACCCAAGAAAGAGATCGTTTGCAGGGTCTTTCCGAGGCCCATCTCGTCGGCGAGAATACCGGAGATACCGTTCTCATGGAGAGAAATAAGCCAGTTGAGACCAGCAACCTGGTAATCTCTCATCTGACCCTGCACGAAGGCGGGCGAGTCGCGGAAGACTGTTTCGGCGGAACCGCCGTGCTTCTCGTCACGGAGCAGTTCGGCATCCTCCTCAGCTTCAGTCCGGCGTACTCGTCCGTTACTGGCACCACCTTGACGGGCACCCTTCTTGGATTTTGATGCCTCGGCGTTTTGTCGATCAATCTCGGTCATGATTTCGCGAATCTTTGGGTTGGGGTTCGTCTCGATGAAGTGGCGGAAGAGGTCCGTAAGACCCAGCAAGTATCGGAATCGGCGAATGCTGTCTTCTTCCTAGTTTGAAATTTGGATCAGCATATCGTGAACGATTGACTTTTCAGAAAGACGCATGATTTGCGCCTGTCATACCTTTGATTCGCCCAGTCTGTCATGTTTCTTGCCAAAGATGCTGCGGCGAAGCTGATTGGCCTCGGATCGCTTCCTACGGCCATCTCCGAGGGGCTCTCCAACAACACTACTAGCAGTGGTGTTCGCATTGGTGTCTGAGTCGGTGTAGTCGGGCGTCTCATCGACTTCCTACATGCAAGTCAGCAAAAGGGCAAATAGATTCAATCGCAACATGAGCTCCGTGGGGAGCACGCTGACGCGACACATCATGGCAGAAGAAACGTACCATTTCTTCCACGGGGTGAGCATCCGCGGCGTCGGACATTGACGCGTCAGTATCGACCGCGGCAGCTCGAGATCGAGGAGCCATCTTGACGGCTGTAAATCACTTTACGCGACTTACACGCGTTTCTTGAGGATATGACGGTGCGCTCCAGAACGGTAGATACAACTCAGGTACTTGGGTTCGTTCGGAAGTGCAAGCGTTCGCGGAGCATTCGCAAAAATGGCCGAATGCTTTGTTGCTGCGCGAGGGTGAACGGTCCGTAGATGTTTTTTTAGAGATGATGGAGGAAAGGTGGGATTCCTCTGCTGTAGAAGACAATGTCCAATCAGGACTAGCGCATTTTCGCCGTGTCAATCCCCGGCGTGTGCAGCAAACGACGTACTTTTTTGACGCCGTCCGAGCTCGGGGCCGGAAGAAGACAGCCTCCGACCTTCTCTATCCCGTCGTCTTGGGCGCCCAGCCAGGGGACAAAAGCCGTAGCACTGGGTAAGCATTGGAGGATCCACCGCCCGCTCCAAGATTGGGTCAGCCGGCTATGACTACCTAGCGCACTGGCCACGAGTGGAGGGGATAACGCCAAAGCCACCTAGGTACGTAAAGGTGCTGAGGTAAATTAGGCCTGTTCAGCTGCAGTTGGCCGTCGGTTAGCACCGCTGTCCAGTGTCATGTGCTCTGCGGTGAAGGCAAGCTGACCTCAGTGCTTCACCCCGTCGTCAATCAACTGCACCGTCTCATTACAGCCTGTTTGACCATTTCCATCACCACGTCTTCGGCATCTCCTCTATTCACTCTTTGCGGCCAAGGCAGCCCGCCCGGAAGACCTCGTTACGTAGTGTAGCTGCACTCGAGCCATCACCTCACACCTTATCGCCACACAGTTGACTTCGCTGGGGGACCCCGTTTGGACCCCACCCCGGCGTCAACTGCAAGATTTGTTTACCCGACAACTCAACTACCTACATTACACCGCTAGAGGTGCGGGACTCATCTTTCCCACCCTTCGACTCGGTACTGATTCCTTTCAGCGATTTGGTTATTGGCATTACCACATAATGGATTCCATGCGAAGTTTGAACACCTCCCTCCCGGGCGCCTCCGCAGCCGCCAAGCAGCCGACGCAAAATGACTCCCCCGAGCAACTCCTCGACGCCTTCAAGGCCGCCGCGCTCTCCGTGACGAAACTCTACAAGACTTCCGCGGCCGCCCAATCCAAGGCCCGCATGGACGGCTACCAAGACTGCCTCGACGACATGCTATCGTTCCTCGACAAGGAGAGAATTGGACTGGGCGACGGCGATGGCTGGAGGATCCGAAGCTGGGCGACCGAGAGGCTGGACGGTGCCAGAGATACGGGCTCCCAGAACGCCGAAAGCGACGACGAGGCGGACAAGGCGGAAACCGCGGCCTCTCCGGAGCTGAACAGAACGAGCAGTGGCACACAACTCTCTTCACTGCGGGGGGAAAGCCACCTGAGGACGGACTCGGCGCCCCCTAGTATCCCGCAACCTGTGGAAGAAGAGGATGGACCCGAACCCATACCAATCACGGTGCCGACGGCAGACTCATTCACTTTTCAATCTTCTCACCCCTGGCCGCCTCAACCGCCTCAACAAGACGCCTACCTGAATCTCGCAAATCTGGATCTCTCGGACTCTCGGGCACACGACTCATCGTCAGCAAACACAAACCCCGCAACGCGCACAGCAAGACCAAGACACCCTGCCAACAACCCGCGTTCGGCATCAAGACAAGGAAACAACCTGGGCCGCGGCGCAGGTTCGAAGCGGAAGATCAACTTTGCAGAGATATTCGACCTCAGCAGTCTAGACAAGAACATGTTTGGTGGCGGATCAAAGCGTAGCAGGCACACATAGCGTCTTTGCCGACAGCATTCCACGACTTTCTTCACTTTCGACAGCAGTCAACTTGGGGCCCAGGTTGTCTGTCTACGGTTATACGGACACATTGTGTGTCTTGACGAACGGGATTGAGCGAGCATCGACACGTACACGTGGGAAGGAGGGGCTATTAGGAAGGGAAGAAATTTGCGCAAAGTATTAGAATGTGCGCTCACGAGCGGCGTTGGTTCTTTTTGTTTTTGTTTTACAAAGGTGCATGGGGCGGTGTTAGGTTTTGGGACTCTCTATCGCGATGATGCCAAATTAAAGGGACGGCTAGCTAGCCCACGACCACCATAGCTACATATATCATCAAACTATCTGCTCCCCTGTCACTTGTTGGCGGTTTATGTCGATGACCTTTCAGAAAGGGTCAGCTGCCATCAACACAGGGGTAATCATAAAGACATTCTTGTTGTCGCCTACATATTCTCTCTCCTTTCTCTCCCTCGGAATGACGTTGACATTTTTCGCATTGTGCGGAATGTTTTTGGTATAAAGTTTCAGATTTCAGGGTTTCAGTGTGTTCCTTAGTCGGCCTGTCCTTCTGATGTGCATATTGTCGTGGGAATCAAACATGTTTCAACACACTCCAGGCACCAGCACTCACATCCCGTTAGCGTAGGCAAAGCTTTCCGGGCTTCGTCCCAACCTTCTCGTCCAAACACCAGTGTTCGGACCCGCCGGGTGCCTATCTGGACTTGTCCTGTCCCTGACCTGGGCGCAAGAAAAAGTCCCTCAACTGTAAAATGCGCTAATATGCGCAAGAGTCATCGGTCCAGCCCCACATTCTTCAGAACATGCCAGATGCTTCATTCCAGCCGCCGGAGAATTTGAGCTTGAGATTTCTAGAAGCAATGCTTTCGCAGAGGCTGATGACATTGCGCATTCTTTTGGACGTGATAGTACTCTACAGAGACCCAGTTGATTCAGAAATTGCAACCGTAATATCTCAAGGAATCTTTTTCTACCAGTTTGACCTAGATTCCTGGACTGGTCTCGGTCGGGGGGAGGCCACGTGAAGACCCTGGTCAAACACCACGCCCGTTAACAGAACGGGATGGGAAAACTCACCACTGCACACGCTCGATGGAAATCAACCATCACCACTCGAAAGAACTCCACTAACTTTGACCTTCATGGGTTAAGAACCTAAATAAAATATGCATCGGAAGGGTGGCCGAGTTGGTTATGGCGCCAGGTTAAGGTCAGCTTAACATCTGTTTCCTGGTGGGGCAACCCGCGCGAGTTCGAGTCTCGTCCCTTTCATTTTTCCTTTTCCCCCCTTTTTGTTACGTACAAAGATAAATAGTTTGACGGGCGTGAAGTGATGCTGTTATATACCTATTTTACACCTCTCCAAAGGTTGCGGGACCAGGTTTCGCGCCTCTCTGGTGACCTCGCTACTCGGATGCCGGTAACTTCAATACTAAGACAACATTCCAAAGGGGCAAAGCAACAAACAAGTCAAAAAGCACATCAAACATTCATCATGACTATCATTCGTTGGTACTAAATTGTCAGAAATCTCATCATTACGTTTTGGTTCATCTCATCCTCGAGGCTCTGCCCGCCCCGAAAGCGGAGAGGAAAGTTTGATATCATCCGTTACCAGGCTTCTTTTTTCGTTTTGGTTTTCGCGGACTGCCCTAGGTTTTTACAAAAACCAATCTAACCATCCCCCAGAGATTTCCCAGAACGCCGTACTAATGCAAGCCGCGAAAGAAGACGAGAAAAAGAAGGGGCCTTGCTCTTTTCTTATTTTTTTCCAACCAAAATCCCTTCTCTCTAGTTCTCCTGTCTGTTCTTCCGTTCCCGCTCGACCTCGTACATGAAGTCGAAGTAGCCCTTGTCGAACTGGTGAACACGGACGTAACCGTCCTCACCACCACTTGCGTAGCCCTTTCCGGTGGGGTCTGCAGCGACGGTGTTCTTGAATATGGTCAGTCACCGAGATAATATGAATCTAAAAGCTCCCAGAGGCTTACCAGAGGACCGAAGTGACCACGGACTCTGCCAACCTCGTCTTCAAAGACCTTGTGGTAGAATCTCGCCTCGAACTTTCCTTGTCTCGCCGAGGTACGGGTGACATCCATGGCGGCCTGACCACCTCCGAGGATGACAAAGTCCTTCTTGGGTGTGATGGTGGCACTGTTGAGGGGGGTATCAGCGGTATAGGTCTTGAGAACCTCGAGGTCCTTGGCCGTGATGAGCTATATCAAGTCAGCAGTTGGTCTCGCGGACAGTCAGCTGTGGGTCGCGTGTACCTTGGACGTCTTGTCCTTGCAGGCGGTGATGAAGTAGGTTCTGTCCTGCGACCACTGGAGATCCGTGATGGGCGTGTTAAGCTCGTGTACGGGCTCGTTGTAGATCAGGTCACCGTTCTGGGAGACGGTCAGCTTGAAGTTCTCCATGCGATATCCCCCTGGTTGGACCCACCTTGGCATCGTACTGCGATACGGAACCGTCCTCGTGGCCGGCGATAATGTACTTGGTGAGGTAGCTGAAGCCAGCAACGGTGGCTTTGCTCTCGTCGCAAACGATGGTCAGGACGCGCTCGTCACTCTGCTCGGCCTCGGGGTCGGGGTTGATGTCGACGACAATGATGTTGGAGAGGTAACCCATGCGCTTCTCCGTGACACCGAGCAGCTTAGTGCCGTCCTCGTTGAACTCGACACGCTTGACAGCGGTGGGGAACTCCCAGGTCTTGAGATTCTTGCCGGTCTTGACATCCCAAAGTCTCATTGTGTTATCGGCGGAACCGGAAGCGATCAGGGTGCTGGTGGGGTCGACATCGACGGTCCAGATGGCACCGACGTGGCCGTGGTAGGTTCCCAAACGCTCGCCATTGTGTGCGTACCAGGCGCAAATCTGTTGATCCTTGGCGGTCGAGAAGATGAGGTCGCCGTCCGAGTTGTACCTATTCGAAGGGGCGCGGCGGGTTAGCATGCGTGGCCCCTCCTACGGTGCGCGAGTTGGCGATGAGGAAGCGAGAGCCCTGGCGCCTCGCTTCCCCCCTCCTCGGAATGGACATTTCGCGCGCTGGGGGGGCAGAAACGTACTTGATCTGGGTGAGCGCACGCTCGTGGCCTGCCAAAAGAATGGGCCTCATATTGTCTGATTTCGGGAGGTCTTACGGTTCTCGGTATCGGGGCTTGGTATACGGGCACGTTGTCGCGGCAGGGGACGTCGGTCTTTAAAAGGCTGATGTCGTCGGGTCAATCGTGAATTTTTGCCTTCACCTCGACATTGTGGGTTTCGGTGCTCTGGTGTGTGGGGCGCACTTTTTCCCCGCGACCATTCTGCCGGTTCAGGTGAGGGCCTTTCACCGCCTTGGACCGCCTTAGGCAGAGAGGTGGTAGCTTAGCACAGGCAGTGGCACAGCAAGGTGAGTCAACTGAGCTACCTTAAGGTAAGGTAGCTCGTGGCGCCGCCAGCGCTTGCAGGGCGACTCACCTCAGGCACCATAGGTATAGGTACATAACGTAAGGCAAGATACCTAGGTAGGTGATGTGCCTCAGGCATTGCCGGTACCTGTCATGCCTGAGGGTGGTGTTCGAGGAACCTTCCCCTTCCATCGGTGCAGGCAAACCCAGCCTTCTAGAACTTTAGCGTGCCGGTTGGCCTGCCCGGCGCACGTCACGGAAGGAGCTGCCCGTTGGAAGCTGGCGGCGGGACGGGAGTCATGGCAGCAAACCCTCCAACCCTCCAAGTCCAAGCCAGACAGCGTGGCAGCCGTTGAAGCTCCGTGCCCGTCGAGTAGTGCGGTCATCATCATCCAATTCCCGCCGTTCCATTGTCCATTGTCCATTACGGCTTGTGTTTGTTATTACGTCCTTTTATGGCAATCCGACTCATGCCTGACTCATACGTGTTCCATGAACAGCGTTTTCGGACCTCGAAACTTGGCATTAAACACTATCAAGTCAAGCCTCGGACCCTTTGGCTCAACTACGTCAAGCTCATGGTAGTTTCACATGCGCTTTACCGAGACAGTCTTTTTTGCGAAGAAATCAGACCGTTCGGACCACCGTCGTTGTTTCTTTGTCTTGTTTCTTGTACCATATTTGTATCACTCACCCCGTTCTCTTTCTGTCTTGGGAGAGACAACTCGAATTTGTCACAGTCTTGATTGGGTTTTCAATTGTGTGTTTCCCAAGATACCAGTCATCCGCCTCAGATCCCTCACAGGAGCGCATTCCGTACTGGTTGCTTTGCCCTTCACGAGAAACCAACCGCCAAAACTAAGGATAAGGCTGTTTGCTGAACCTACTAATACCCACAACTCGGCTTCTTATCGATCGGATTTGCCGCCGGCCTCGGAGACTCGCCCGAAAATTTTCGACCTGCCCAAAACGGCAGATCATTTCCACTGGAATCACAGAGTCACTCGTACAGAGCCTGCGTATCCAGGACCAGGGAGCCTCAACAGTGAACAGTAACAGTCATAGGTACGACTCACAATCCCGCCATTGAGGAGTCACAGGGCCCTATCGCTTAGCTCCACCCAAGGGAAAGGTCGACTTGTAGTAGTGAACAGCACCGAGAAGTCAACAAGGGACACCGCAAGCCGCAAGGGAGACACTGATTTCGGGATTCGGCATGTCGTCTATCAGCCAGTTGAAAGGCCCTCAGAGGCTGTCTTGGACACGCCGCCTGGCGTCGCCCAACAAGTCTCAGCTTCGGCTGAGAACCCGCGGGTTGCCCTCGAGAGCAGCATTGTCCAGTCACAATCCATTGTCCGACTCCTTGACTTCCCCTTCCCGCCGGTCACTTCTGAGCCTTGGGGTAGATACAGGTCGGTCTCCATCAGACCGCCGGCCGCCCTACAGCGCGCTAAATTCCGACTTGCACCGCTGCCCACCACCCCTCATTCTCGCTGCTCCCGCTTACACCCATCCTGCGCGCTTGGCTTCGGTGCCCGTCCCGACAATTTCATCTTCTTCCCATCATCCCAAAAACTTCGCGTTTGGACA